CCGTTATAGTAAGACTGAATGAGGAGGCAGCCCCTACAAGCTGGTGACCTGTCTGATTGGACGTCAGCTCTGGATGTCTTGTTCAGAGGGTTGACCTCGGCTGAATCACCAAACCTCGTTCCATTAGTGGTCATGATTAAAGCAACAGAAGCAGCCACACATAATTAATGAAGATGAAGCTTCAGTGCTGTTCTTAAAGCCAGCCCACAGAGGGCACTCGTGCTGCTTCAGTTTCAGCTTCCCTCTTAGGTTCCTGTGTCTAATTACCAGTACATGTTGATGGTTTCCTGTTGGGTATAACCAGGACAACAAAGAAGCCACTTATACAGGAACTGTGTTCGTTCTGTTGCAGGATAGTTCATGATGACTGGGCTGCTCTCTCCTTTATTTTCCAGGCTGTTAAAAATGTCACGAGTTTACCAGAGAAGGAAATATCAAAGCAGAATAACACGGGCAAGTTTGAAATGAGAGAACAGAATAAAAACAAGAATGAAGCAAAGTGGAAGTATAAGGTAAGTTGTTTTCTGCTGACTCATTTCTACATGTGGTTTGAAGCTAATGACTGAGTGTTGCAAACCAACATAAATACCATCCCAATCTGTTTAAAGCTGAAACAGATTTACGTTTCATTCTGGTTAGAAAACTTTAGAAAGTTAAAAGCTCAATGAGTGAACAGAATAAAAAGCTCCTCGCTTCAAAGCAACAGTCCAAAGTAATATGGGCCGACCTTATGTTTGACGTCTCAGCTCATCATCCATCCACTTGTATTTTAATTAATGTAATTAAGCCACATCTTTATCCAGTGCTTTCTATTTAAGTATTTACATATGTGCTCATATAGGAAAAAAGGGTTGTTGTATAAACATGGCTGAATGAGTGGAGAGAGCTTTTAGGGAACATAAATGTTTCAAATGAGAGACGTCAGAGGATCTGAGGCTGCTTCTTCACACCGAGGTGTTCTTCAGAGGGGGACGAGGAACAGCCACCAGAGATCCTTTCTTCCTCTTTGGAGCACTGGTGATCAAGTAAACACCTCTGTGTTCCATGTGCCACCTATTAATTTAATTCACTTTATTGATATAGCACCAAGTCACAACTGTTGTCTCAGGGCACTGCACACAAAACATTATAAAGACAAATGAAAAAGACTGTAACGTTTCAATTTCAAGATCTGTTGGCCTGGCTTTTTTCTGTTTTTTAAGGAAGACAGTTGTTGAAGAGTGAATATTTAGATGTCTTGAACTTTTCCAGGTTTTGCCATAATGTGTAGTACATCACTGCAAAGGTAAAGGAAAATGATTTTCAGAATTTGTTTACAAATAAAATCTGTGGGGCGTTCATTTGTTCTCACTCATTTTAATCTGAAACCAGTAAGCAGTGGTTCCCAAAGTGGGAATTTTGTATTTTTGAGTAATTGATAGCAATGTTGAATATAATATATTTTTACAAACCAATGGGTGCTAGGCACAAGTAGATTGGTAACCCCTGAACTAAAGTCTAATGCAACAATCATTTTCAAAAGTCATCGAATCAGTAAATAAAGATGATTAGGAGAAGATTGTTTGTTTTTTTGGTGTCATACAGCTATGAGAAATTTGTTAAGTCTTTTGTTCAGACAGGCATTAAACAAATATATAAAAGGGCAACAACTCTGTACAAGAAAATGTAATAAATTGTCCAAAGTGGTGCAATAATAATTAGCTAAATACCAGTGGTGGGCACAGTTCCCCTAAAGCAGTGTTTCCCAAAGTTGGGGTCGGGACCCAAAGTGGGGTCCCGAAACATCAAGGTGGGGTCCTGAAAAGATTTTCTGAGTTAATGACATTTTTGCCTTAGTTGTTACAAAGGAGTGAGGTTAGTATATTTAAAAT